AGAATGCCTTCCTTAATGCCTAAATTGTAGTTTATCTATTGGGGAGAAATATATGAGTATATTAAATTTTATGTGGAGAACTCATCTGATATTTACATTATTTAAATGTACTTATATTTTTAATGAAGTACACATGTTTTACTATGTAGCCACCCAATTCGATCCGGTCAGAATCAAATGGTGAATAAGGTTTCTCTTGACACTTTTTTATTTGAAAATGGTCAAATTCGGTATCAACGATACCTACTTTTCATTTAATAACATTTGTAATAAATATCAAGTATTTTCGTAATAGCTCCATATATCCACTAAACCCTTATATACCCAATATAATGATAATCCCAATACCAACCTTAATATCTACCGAAAATGAATGAAATCGGTTCATTAGGGATTTTTAGGCTTTATTTATTTTTAAGTTATATGATTAATATTTGGGGAGAATGCTTCGTTTAACGTATTATGAGTGCTGCTGTTAAAAATGTATGAAATCGATCCGTAAAAATAAATAGAAATAGAAATTTAAGGAATGTCTTACATTCTTGCAGAAGTTTTTTGGAATACCTTTATTTCTAATTGGTTTATATACTTACTTGCAATGCTTTCCACATAACATACAATGCCACCGTTACATCGGGATATTTAGTGAAGGACACGCTGGCCAAAAGACCAGCTGGTATGGCGAAGAGTGGATCATCCCGTCCAAAGCTATGCCGCAAGGTACACGAAACACCCTGAACATGTAGAATGCAATAAAATCAAAAATTATGTTTTAACTAATACGAATACAATTTAATAGTATGAGGGTTAATAAACGTATGTTTATTTTTATAAAATTATAGAGTTAATTAAGATTAATGATCTCTTTTCGTTGGCTTGGATTGGAACTCAGTTAAAACTGAACAAGAACTAGATTTCGATCGATCTGTTCGTATGACTATGTACAATATGCCTTAGAAATTCGATCTGAAATATTTTTTCTAATTATATTGTTGTTTGGACAATTATCAATGCGGAATTTCTTGATGACATCTTGCCAAATAAAAAAGTTTTTCATACAAAGTCTCGATTTTGATCGGCCGATATCAGCGTTTTTGACACATGAGCAGCTTCTTGGGGAGAAAAGTCCTGTGTGCAAAACTTCAAAGCGTTCTCAAAAACTGAGGAACTAGTTCGCGTATATAAAGACAGACCAACGGACATGGCTAAATCGACTCAGTTTATCATGCTGAGCATTTACATATACAGTTAAACCTGGTTAAGAGAGAGTTTAAGGGACCATGATTTTTTTCTCGCTTATAGAGGTTTATCACTAAAACGACTACACGTTGATTTATCGTTTAGACATTATAAGTTGTTGTAAGAGCTGTACTGTTCGTTGAAAATTATATATATGAACTGTGCTGAACATGACAAATAAGTTAATACAGTTACATATTATTTCTCTAAATTACAAGAAAACAACATAGTTCCTGATTTCTGAAGGAAAAGAGTGAGTCATACAAAAAAAAAAGAAAAAGTCATACAAAAAAAAATTATAGAGGTAAATACAAAAGTGCCTCTCAGTTTTAGAGGTCAGAGTGGGAAAAACGACTGTCACTCATAGAGGTTTTTGAGAGGTCAAAATTCGGGACCTGAGAATTATTCTCACTCAAAGAATTATTCTCACTCAAAGAGTTTTCTCGCGTACCCAGTTCTCTCTTACTCAGGTTTGACTTTATATTTTATATGGGCTGTGACGTTTGCTTCTGGGTGTTATAAACTTCATGGTAAAGGTAATATCGGATATTTTCAATACCACTACTTACCTTGTATATGAATGAGAAGCAACCCAATAATATTCCCAAATCCAGTGTCTGCTTATTAAATATAGACTTCCGCACATCGAATTTCATTTGTACAATTTTCTTTAAATTCCTAATTAAACGCAATGCCACTTGCAGACCCACACCGCCGACGAAAGGCTTGAGACCACCCACAAACGCATAATGCCAACAATTATCACGATGTGGACATGAGGGGTGTCGACTCTTCGCCGCATCCAAAAAGCGTGCATACAGCAGGACCAATATATTTATGCTTCGGAAATCGAGTGGTGCACGCAATCGTTGCGGTGTAGGCGCCACCGGCTCTTTCGGCACGATCGGTCCTTCTTCCGTTTTACCAACAAAGAAACGTAATATATTGAATAATGAATCTTTACATGTCGTCTTATGGAGACCTAAACGATAGAGATATAATAGTGTTGATATGCTAATGCCGAAGATTAGAGCTTGTCCTTGTGGTATCGAACGCACATAACCGCGTACCTCGGCCATTTGCCAGAGCGTCTCCGTAGCCAAATTCGCTACGTACAGTGTTAACAGAGGACGACGTGCTGGTCGTTCGACCAGTATCGACGCAAAACTGGAGATAAAACAGGGTACGAAAGCAACAGTGGCACAATAATAGTGACCGATTAATTTACGTAACAGGCAATTAAACATAATGAATGAATAGCTATTGAAGGCGAGGAAGGCGGACGATTGCAATATGCCGAGTAGGGTGCGTTTAAGGTCGGTAAGGTTTGGTAAGCGATGGCGCATTATGAGTGATAACTGTAATAAGAACAAAAAACAAAGGAAACGATGAGATAAAAAATAAAAATTTGTAAACGATATTATAACGATATATGTTTTGGGTGCTTACCGCATAGACAAATGTGTAGATGCGCAAGCTGTATGGTATTGCGCCCAGTAAGATGCCCGCTGACGCATTTGCACAGCTATCCGTCCATGGATGATTGAAATCTTTGCAGGTGCAGTCAACAGGCGTCAGGATGCGACTAAGGGCGTTCGTCATGATTGCAAGTGTGTATTAGTGGAGTCGTGAACTCACAGCTGTAATGGAGAAGTGAATTGTTTGTTTTGCAAAACTTGTATAAGTAAGCATTTCGAGGTTAGTTTTACCTTACAACCGTTATAGATATCAAAGGCAGACTGATGTAAGAAGTTTACGGTTTTATTGAGAAATTTATAGCTTGGCGCTTCCAAATACACCCTTTGGAATGCATTCTATTTTATTAATTTGTTTAAAATAAAAATTTATCCCAAAACAAAAGGAATTTCGGTACTTCCAAAAATAAACGAATATTTGTTAGATGATAAGGCTAAATGTATATATCCACTTTATGCAGCTATATTGAGCCAATCACAAAATTCACTATTTATTTATTTAGCAACAATAACAAACACATATGCAATAAAATAACTGTTGTTCTATTTACTACTGGGAATGAACTTTGCTACACTTATCACTATTAACAGCGGCGTACTTTATGTTTGTAACCAAGTGTAAAAG